ATCCCAATAGGAACACAATTGCAGAGCTTTAATGCCTCATCTTATGAAGGAAACCTTGATCTTTGTGGATCGCCACTCAATAAAATTTGCCCAGAAGATAATATGCCTCCACCTCAAGAGGCCAATCACGATGAAGAAGAAGAGGCCTCATTGTTCTCTCAAGAATTTTACTTGAGTATGGGATTGGGATTTGTTGTTGGATTCTAGGCTGTTGTAGGACTGTTGCTCTTCAACCGAACTTGGAGGCAAGTCTATTATAGGTTTATGAGCACAATAACAGACAAAATCCATGACATGGTCGTAGTTTATGTGGTTAAATACCTCACCATCAGAGACTAGCAACAAGGTAATGATTTATTTTTCTCTTGCTGTTCTTCCTCCCATTCAACACTTATGATAACCATATGATGGTAAATTACTACAATCTGTGTTAACATAGACAAACATTTTAACATGCTAGTGATGTTCAAATAAAAATCAAACTTGGACGTTGTATGAGTATTAGGCTTTTGACTAACTTATGGGAAAACTAAGATAATAAAAATCAATCTTATCTATGGAATTACTTGGGAATGCTTGACATGCTACTCTGTTTTTTACAGGATCTGTTTGTCCTACAGTTTGGCATTGGATGTAGTTATGATCCAAGTAATGATGGTTTGTTACACTGATTTATGTTATGATTTGAAATATATTGTACTTATAATAATGTTCTCTACTAGCATTTCATCGAACTGGTTATGTTCTGCTTATTGCCCTTTAAATATTTTCTGTTGCATGCTAACTGGGGATATATATATATATATATATAACTCCAGCATAACATTATAAGTTTCAAAATGATATTCCTTTTGAATTATCTATCTATTGGCTTTGTATTGATATGGCCATATGGTATTGACCAAATAATTCTGCTGAGGAAGAAAATGAGGTCCTTAATTTCATGAATTAGAACTTACACATTGGGTTGATTGAGTTGTGACAAGGCATTGGAGACCGATACCTTTGATCGCTGAACAAATCGGTGCGTACAAAGGAAGGTCTTGTCCAACAGTTTGAAAACTTTTTGAGGGACGAATATCCAGAACAATGAAGTTAAATATTTCAAAGCTATTATTTTTTTATGTGCAAATTGTTCTGCGTGAGTTCTCTTTTGTATTTGAGATACTCTTCCTCTGCTTAAATTGCATAATATTGAAGAGAAAAGTTTTAAAACTTGGGATCTAGACATGTTAGACACCCTTGTATTTTTAGCTTTAGGAAGCTTACAGAAAACAACAATAAAAAGTAGCATAGATAAACAGAGTCAATGTTTGGACTGCTTTGTATGTTATAATAATTACCCCCAATGATAAATATCCCTTGCTTTGTGCTTGGGGACTGGACGTAGGACATATTGGTCTGAACCAGGATAAATGATCGTGCTCATTCTTTGTCTCTCTTCACTTGTTTTATTTGTTATTTTTTAAAATTATATTTAAGGATAACCTCATATTTCATAGAAATTTTACCATGCAAAGTCATAGAAATAAAAAAAATATTTTTTGACATAATTAAACTTTTTCTTAGATTTCTAGGTTAACACAACTCAAGAGATGATACTCTAATGCATGTTCTTTAAGAATATTTCCCAAAAATACACAAGTTCGACTCTTAAGTAAAAATAACTTCATAAAGCAATTATTAATTTTAAAAAGTAGTTTGATTTTTCTTAACATTTGTAATTTATATGAACTTAAAAAATAGCTATTTTTTTTTTAAAATGTTTAACACTAATACTACAATCAAAGAGATTTAGTGAAATTACTCAAATCCGCATTCACACCTAGTAAACCCAAAACCTATGATATAATCATTGATCCTAATATAATAGGGTCATCATCAATATATCAAAAAACAAAATTTATGGCAAGTTTTGTTATTCACACTCATTCATAAAACACTAAATAACATTAATTCAACAATATTTTTTTTTTGGTACAAGCAATTTGAAACATTTTCTCAGAAGAGAGCCACACACTCCATTTTTTACTACTTTGAGGTATAAAATCCACGCCTCAAGGTACTTGGTTCTCAACAATTTAATAACAACTAAGATTGTGCGCGCACAGTGCTTATATGTAGGAAAAGAAAAGGATAGAGCCCACAAACATAGAAAGGATTGTGATTGTGGGATTCTCGATACAATTTTGGTTTCTTCTCCGCAAGGCAAGCCTTTGGAGATTCAGAATTGGAAGTCGAACACCCTGCACTTATATAAATATTTAAAATAGTACTTATGATTTTTAATATAAATATAAGAATTAGATATCTAATTTTAAATATTAAAAAAATTAGTTAAGTTATTTATTAATAAATATTATTTTTAAAATATTTTATTAATCATGTGTATTAAAATGAAAGCCATTTAACCTATGTAATTTTCAAAAAAATACATAAATGCAGGAAATAAAATTAATTGAATTTTTATATTTAAGATTAGAGATACAGTGTTATATTGTACTCCTCATGTCCTTAATATAAGATCTAATTATTGTGTAAATCTTATTCCTAAATATAAGATCTATTTATCATATTTATCATTTTTTTCTAAATTATTCCTATTGATATTCTCTCAATTATAATCAAGTAAAAGAGGAAGAGAGGATATTAAAAAAGATGATTATGGTGTTTTAGAAAAAATATGTCATATTTCTTATAATTAACTAACTTATCTAACTTCTTTAATTTAATCAAATTAGTTAAATATATTTTATATTAAGGATTAGAGTAGTATCATTATTTTAAGCCGATTGCATCATTCTAAACTTTTCTTTTCTTCCTGTATTGAGAATTTTACTCACTTTTTCACCACCCACTCCTCAAATATCGTACCAAATTCTCCGGGTCCTTCTTATTAGGGAAAATGACATTGAGGTCCCATGGAGAACAAAATACAGCAAAAAGGTCCCCTGAAATGTCATAATTTTTCTGAAGTCCCAAAGGGACTTAGATGCAATTTTCAGAATCTGTAAATTACTCTCTTGCCCTGCCCTAAGCCATCAGAAACGAAGCAGCAGCATTTCATTTTGGGTGAGACTTCCCGCGCAATATGCTTGAGAAAGAAGACATTGGGAAAGAGGGAAGCAGCCATTGATGATGAATTTCCATGTGAATCTCCACAAACTTTCAGGTGTGAAACTTTCTTTCCTCTTCTCTCCTACCTTTCTTGACAGATTGTGCTTTTGTTTGGAAATGGGAAATGAAAAAATCGTTTTTGTGTTTTTGGGTTGCTTGTGGGTGGTTTTGGAAATGGGATTCACAAGTTAATCAATAGAAAAGCTGTGTTTTTGGTTGGTGTGTGTTAGTGATTTAAGTTGGGTGTGTAGGATAATCATGGGTGCTCTGTTTTTGAGTTGCTTGTGGGTGGTTTTGCTCTGTTCTGATGCTAGTTCAGTGGCAAAGGAAGAAAAAGATGAAGGTTAGTGAGGGTAGAAACCCTTAGCACGAAATGGGATTGTGTTGTCAATCAGGCCGCGATTGTTGTCAATGTGTGCCGCTACACTTGTCAATGTAGCTCCTTAAGTTGTCAATGACAGTTGCGTGCTGGTTGATAGAGGTTTGAGTTACTGATGGTATTTCAAAGCTTTTGTTTTTGGTTTAGGATTCAGATGTTAATGAATGGAAAAGCTGTGGTTTTTGTTGGTGTGTGTTGTGATTTAAGTTGGGTGTGTAGAATGATAATGGGTGCTCTGTTTTTGGGTTGTTTTTGGGTGGTTTTCCTGTGTTCTGATGCTAGTTCAGTGGCAAAGGAAGAAAAAGATGAAGGTTAGTGAGGGTAGAAACCCTTAGCACGAAATGGGATTGTGTTGTCAATCAGGCCGCGATTGTTGTCAATGTGTGCCGCTACACTTGTCAATGTAGCTCCTTAAGTTGTCAATGACAGTTGCGTGCTGGTTGATGCAGGTTTCAGTTACTGATGGTATTTCAAAGCTTGTGTTTTTGGTTTAGGATTCAGATGTTAATGAATGGAAAAGCTGTGTTTTTTGTTGGTGTGTGTTGTGATTTAAGTTGGGTGTGTAGAATGATAATGGGTGCTCTGTTTTTGGGTTGTTTTTGGGTGGTTTTCCTTTGTTCTGATGCTAGTTCAGTGGCAAAGGAAGAAAAAGATGAAGGTTAGTGAGGGTAGAAACCCTTAGCACGAAATGGGATTGTGTTGTCAATCAGGCCGCGATTGTTGTCAATGTGTGCCGCTACACTTGTCAATGTAGCTCCTTAAGTTGTCAATGACAGTTGCGTGCTGGTTGATGCAGGTTTCAGTTACTGATGGTATTTCAAAGCTTGTGTTTTTGGTTTAGGATTCAGATGTTAATGAATGGAAAAGCTGTGTTTTTTGTTGGTGTGTGTTGTGATTTAAGTTGGGTGTGTAGAATGATAATGGGTGCTCTGTTTTTGGGTTGTTTTTGGGTGGTTTTCCTTTGTTCTGATGCTAGTTCAGTGGCAAAGGAAGAAAAAGATGAAGGTTAGTGAGGGTAGAAACCCTTAGCACGAAATGGGATTGTGTTGTCAATCAGGCCGCGATTGTTGTCAATGTGTGCCGCTACACTTGTCAATGTAGCTCCTTAAGTTGTCAATGACAGTTGCGTGCTGGTTGATGCAGGTTTCAGTTACTGATGGCGACTACGTCTGGAAAACATCTATTTTGCTTTGTTCACATAGGGGGAAAGTTTATAAATGATGGAGAAGATAATATGAGATATGTGGGAGGTAGTGTAAGAACAACCAATGTAAAGGAGGGCACAAGTTATGAAGAATTGAAAGAAATTATATCATCAATTGCTGGAAAAGAAAGCAACTCATTTCTTCTGAAATTCTCTGTTGTGTTTGATAAAAAAACTTTTGTGGAGTTGGTAGATGATGATGGGGTGGAACATTTGATAAAGTTCAATGAAGAAAGTGGTCATGTGTATGTCGAAGAAAATGAAAATGAGGACCACATAGAAGCAACAAGAGATAATACAATGGAGGAGCAAGATGTGTAAGTATAGTTTAAGAAAACTGTTATTGTGATTTCTTAGTATGTCAGTTGTTACTGTATTGCTACCAACTTGTCAATACATGCACCCTGACTTGTCATTTTTTGCAGGATTGATCAATCATTTGGAGGTGTCAATGAATTGTCTATGTCTCCACCTACCTTATTTGATGTGATTGGAGAGCCACAATCAATTCCTTGTGCTGTTGAAATGATCCCAACACCTACACCACAAATGAATTCCACAAAATGGAAGGATTTGATTATTGGAGAAGGACAAATATTTCCAAATGCCACTACTCTCCGGAAAACATTATACAAGTACAGCTTATGCCAGAAGTTTTCGTACGTTTTCATTAAGAATAATCAGCAAAAGATCATTGTGAAGTGCAAGGTTGATGGTTGTCCATGGTATATGGGTGCATATTCAATGGGAGCACATCAAGATACTGAGTTTTTAACTATCAGAACGTACAAAAGTGAACACATTCATCATGCACAGGACAACTTAATTGTACCTCACTCAGGAAGGTCAAATTTAGCTGCTTCGATTGTGATTGATGACTTGAGGTGCAATGTTGACAAGAGTCCTAATGAAATCAGAAAGGACTTGTATAAAGAATATGGAGTGCAATTGAACTATACTCAAGCATATAGGGTTAGGAAGAGAGCACTAATGGAATTACATGGTCGAGTAGAAGATTCTTATAAGGTAATCCCTTGGATGTGTGAGAGACTCATGGAAACTGATCCTGACACAGTTGCAAGATGGGAAGGCTCAGATAGCAACCGATTTGAGAGGCTATTCATTGCATATGGATGCTCAATTAAAGGCTTTGTGGAAGGTTGCAGACCAATTATTTATATAGATGGATGTCATTTGAGTGGTCCTTACAAAGGAACTTTATTATCAGCTTGTGCATTTGATGCAGACAATGAGTTGTTTCCTTTAGCATATGGTATTGTTAGCGGGGAAACAAATGATGAATGGACTTGGTATCTACAGAATCTGAAAGAATAACCAGATCAGCACAAGTGACAATTGTCTCAGATCGGAGTAATGCTATTATCGGTGCTGTCAAGACAGTATTTGATGGTGATAGACATGCTTTTTGCTATCGACATGTGAAAGAAAATTATAGTGCGCAGTATGTGAAAATCAATAGAGGTGTGAGACGGACCTCAGAAAATAACAAGGAGAATGCACTTAATTTACTTGATGGAATTGCATATGCAAGGCATGATAATGAGTTTAATGTTGCAATGGGAAATTTAAGATTGTTTTGTCCTCAATTGGCACAATGGGTTGAATCTCATGGGGATGTGGATAGATGGGCGCAAAGTAAATTTCCTTTTAAGAGATGGGATAACATCACCAATAATCTTGCTGAGTCTTTTAATGCATGGATGTTGAAAGAAAGGAAGCACGCCTTGCCGGTTTTGATACAAGAGCATCAAGAGAAGTTGGCCAAGAAGATGGTTGCTAGCAAAATGGGGATGAAAAGCTGGAAAAATGGTGTAGGACCCAATATTGAATCAAAGTTGTCGGAACAAATAGCAAGAGGTGCGTGTATGGAGGCAACATATTATGGTGATGACCATATTTCGGTGCAGACAATACGTGAGGGACGCATCATCTATGTTGCTGTTGATCTGATTTCTCACAGATGCACATGTTTGGCATGGCAAATGAGTGGAATACCTTGTCCACATGCTTGTGCAGCAATCAAACTAGTTCACCGTAGTGTGTATGATTATGTAGATGATTGTTACAAATTGTCCACACAGGAGAAAATATATGCAAATAGCATGAGGCCAATTGCAACACATGATTGCCCACAGCCTGATGCACCTACTGTGAGTCATATGCTGACCCAAACATTCTTGCATCCACCGATAACCAAAAGGCCTCCAGGAAGGCCAAGGATTAATAGGATAGAATCTCAGTTCCAAAATAAGAAGGTTTATCATTGTGGAAGATGCAAAGAGCCTGGACACACTGCCAAGACATGCAAGAACCCAAATCCCAGCTGAGAACATATTGAAGTCAGCTATTTTTTGTATATGGATGTGAAGAGAATATTTTGTAAATGGGTGTGAAGGAAATTTTTTGTAAATGGATACACACCACTGGTTAGTTTCATTATGACATGCAACCCCTATGTTTTTTTTGGGATGGGTTGTGAAATAGGTGTAGTTTCATGTATATGAAAGTGTAAATGAAAGTTGGCTATGAATTGGCATGTTACATTGTACTGTCATTTTAGTTGTCATTACCTGCACCCTGAGTTGTCACTAGACCTGTAATGACTTGTCAATCATTGCACTACGACTTGTCAATGAATTTGCTGATGTAAGTTGTCAACAACATGAATTCAAGTAACATAACCTTTTTGACCATGAAATGATATTTACAATCACTTTGTCATATTATATTTTGGTTGTATGGTTATATATAATCATTATTAATGAAGTGTCAAAAACTTACCTCTCCCTTGTCCCCTGTCAGTGGTGGCTCTGTGACATGTCAATGGAGCACTGTTGCTTGTCAATAACAACACTGTCCCTTGTCAATGGTTTATCCGGTTACTTGTCAATGGAGCTCTGTGACTTGTCAATGCAGCACTGTGACTTGTTAATGGCTTCACTGTCCCTTGTCAATGGAGCACTATGACTTATCAATGGAGCTTTGTGACTTGTCAATACAGCACTGTGACTTGTTAATGGCAACACTGTCCCTTGTCAATGGTTGCACTATGACTTGTCAATGGAGCTCTGTGACTTGTCAATGGAGCACTATGACTTGTTTGTGTGAACATTGTCCCTTGTCAATGGTCGCTGTCAAGAGAGCATTGTGACTTGTCAATGGAGTACCGTGACTTGTCAATGGTTGCACTATGACTTGTCAATGGGGCACTGTGACCTGTCAATGGGGCACTGTGACTTGTCAATGGAGCACTATGACTTGTTTGTGTGAACACTGTCCCTTGTCAATGGTCGCTGTCAAGAGAGCATTGTGACTTGTCAATGGAGTACCGTGACTTGTCAATGGTTGCACTATGACTTGTCAATAGGGCACCATGACCTGTCAATGGGGCACTGTGACTTGTCAATGGAGCACTGTGACTTGTTTGTGTGAACACTGTCCCTTGTCAATGGTCGCTGTCAAGAGAGCATTGTGACTTGTCAATGGAGTACCGTGACTTGTCAATGGTTGCACTATGACTTGTCAATAGGCACCATGACCTGTCAATGGGGCACTGTGACTTGTCAATGGAGCACTATGACTTGTTTGTGTGAACACTGTCCCTTGTCAATGGTCGCTGTCAAGAGAGCATTGTGACTTGTCAATGGAGTACCGTGACTTGTCAATGGTTGCACTATGACTTGTCAATAGGGCACCATGACCTGTCAATGGGGCACTGTGACTTGTCAATGGAGCACTATGACTTGTTTGTGTGAACACTGTCCCTTGTCAATGGTCGCTGTCAAGAGAGCATTGTGACTTGTCAATGGAGTACCGTGACTTGTCAATAGTTGCACTATGACTTGTCAATAGGGCACCATGACCTGTCAATGGTGACTTGTCAATGGAACACTGTGACTTGTTATGAAATTCTTATATTACTTGTCATTAACTCCTATTATATTAGTTGTTATTTTGGATAACTGACGTTGTTTTATAATTAAGAATGTAATAAAACCCTAACAAATTAGTATTACAATGTGATGACAAAGGTAATAATATTATAAACATAACCTGATCAGTTTGTTACAAAATGACCTATTTGCTAATCATCTTAACAACACATATCATGGGCTAAGAGAACAAAAAATTCATAGACCACTCTATCTCCTCTTCTTGGTCTTGTTGTAGTCCGATAGCATCGACATCACTTGACTCCCATGTTCATTACTTGGATGGGTCACCAACCACCACAAACAGCCAACCTTCAACTCTTGTAGCTCATCATTAGAGTATCGTGGCATTGTATATCCTGCATCATCCCGAACGGTGCCATCCCACTCTTGTAGCCAAGAGATAACATGAACTCCACATGAATCACTACCAAGCAAATTGAATATGTTAGCGCCTTGCAATTGTTATTGTGAACAAAAACAACATAACACAATCGAACAGAACATCTACACTTACGTATCATTCTGCACATAGACTTTAGCCCATTTCACTTCGTTGTCAATTTCGTCCTCATTGGCAAACAATTCTGGCTTAACAGCACGTAGCATCGAATGGAAACAGTTCATCTGGAAAAAACACACACGCACATAATGAACATCCAGTGACAACTCACAGAGCATGTAGTGACAAGGGACAGAGCATCCAGTGACAACTAACAAAGCATCTAGTGACAACTACCAGAGCATGCAATGACAACTACTACAGCATCTAGGGATAACTAACAGAGCATCCCGTGACAACTAGCATAGCATCCAGTGACAAGGGACAGAGCATCCAGTGAAAACTAACAGAGCATCTGGTGACAACTAACAGGGCATCCAGTGGCAACTAATATATCATCCAGTGACAAGTAACAGATCATTCAGTGACAACTAACAAATAATATATCATCCAGTGACAAGTAACAAATCATCCAGTGACACCAAGCACAACATCCAGTGACAACTACCAGAGCATGCAATGACAACTAGCACAGCATCCAGTGACAACTACGACAGCATGTAGTGACAAGGGACAGAGCATACAGTGACAACTAGCATGGCATCCAGTGACAAGTAACAGATGATCCGGTGACAACTAGTATAGCATCCAGTGACAACTACCAGAGCATGTAATGACAACTATGCAGACTGCTACTAACAATTATAATAGTCATTGACAAGTATAAAAGCTGTAAATAACTACTCACAGTTTGTGTTGCCATGAACTGTTTGGGGTCGAACTGCCTTTTACTTGTCCTCTTTTTCTTCTTCTTTGCGTCATGTTGTTGCTCACCCCCCTTCTTCTTTGCTTCTTCTTCCTCGGCTTGTAATCTCATGAATGTGATGCTATCAACCAACGAGTCAAGGGCGTGGAAGGTCATGGTCTTTGTCTCAAAAACATAACAAAACCAATGATCTTCAAATAGAGTAGGACCAAAAATGAAATCGCAATCCCCGATATTGTATCCAATATATTCAGGTAATATTTCTTTTTCATGGTCCTCCCATTTCCACCTTAAAGGATTCGCCACCATTTTCTGCATGAAATCTGCAGAAAATATATGACGGTTGACTCGCCCATCTTTTTCCTTTTGATCTCCAACGAATGTCTTCGCCACCATAGTCATAAACTGAAATTGCAAATACAAACAAATTACAACTCCTTAGCATGCAATAACTCATTCTGATATTAACTATGTACGTGTGACTCACCCTGTCGTTTATCCATCTTCTACGTTGGAGACATTGCAACTCACCACGGGTTAGGAAGTATCCATACATCGATACAAAGTATCTAACACAAATGAAACAATTATGAAGTTAGTAAATTCAGTAAATTCTGTAACATAATACAAAATTGGTCACCAAAACATAATACTTACTGCTCTTGCTCCTCATGGTTACACCTTGCTGTGCACATGTCAAATAAAGCTTGCCTATCATCAATTGTTCTCTTTTTCCAGCCTTGCTTTTAAATTCCAGAAATGGAGACCTAAGAGCTTTCCCCTTACTTATCACCCTTGTAGATTTCCTCACATGTTCGCTCCCTTCCCCTTGGGTGGCCTCATCCGCTTCTTTGTCCTCTTCATCTTCTTCTTCTCTCTTATTTTCTTCTTCATCTTCTTTGTCCTCATTTCCCTTCTCTTTTTCCTCTTCATCCTCTTTTTTTTCCTTGTCATGTGATTCTTGTCCACCCATCTCCTTTTCTGATTGAGCTTCTTGCTCTTCTTCTTCATTCCTATCATCTTGTGATTCAGATTCTTCTTCTTCATTTCTGTCATCTTCTTCCTCATCCTCTGAATCACTTTCTTTCTCAACTTTTTCCTCTTCTGCTTCAGATTCTTCTGCCTCATCTTTGTCCTCTTCACTTGCATTGCCACTACCCTCCATTAGTCTTGACTGAAGGGCCATCATTTCCTCCCCCAGCATAGACACTAATCGAGTATATGTCTTTTTGATCTCCTATACAAATCAAATTCAGAACAGTAAGCAACAGTAGAAAAACAAAAAATTAATCATTAAGCCCACAAGTCCACATACCGGGTGAGTTAAATTTTCAGGATCAAATTTGGTGGATTGCTTTGCCGGATGCAAGAGTCCTCGATTGCTTTCCTTCTCCTCCTTAACTCTTTGCTGCACTTTCTTTTCATCCCAATATGCAACAGCATCCTTTACATGTGCAGCTTTTGTTTCTCCCAATGGAAAATTTTGTAGACAATATAACTGCATGTGACATGAATGATAAGTTAACAGCAACCATTGACAACATTCAGACCATCAAATGACAACAGAAATATACAAATTATTGTAGCACTTACCATTAGGAAGTATAGACAACCTGGCACATTCTTCTTCTTCTCAGTCAACTTGCCTTTTTCCAATTGTTTCTTGTACACTCCAATCCCCTTATATAGTTCATGCAACACATAAGAGGACCAATCAAACTTATCCAATCTATCCTTTGTTGATAGTATTACCTTCAACAAATAATCACCCACACAAATACTTGCATTAGGACATAACAATGTTCCCAATGCATACATGACAAACAGCACCTCAAAATTTTCATCTTGGTTCTCCTCAGTCAACAATGATGCTATCTTCTTGTATGGAATATTGCCATACACAATCCTCCACTGCTTGAACACTTCATCTTCATTATTCACAACTACTTTAATCTCTTCTCCGTCAAATGGTAGCCCCAGAAATTCATGCACATCTTTTGCCCTCATTTTCCTTGTCTTCCCTCTTATGGAAATGTTGTTTGATGCAACATCAACTGCAGACATAAACTCTCCACACAATTCTCTTTGAATTGTGTGACAACACACTTCAACCAACTTGTCAAACCCTATTTTTTTCAGCCTATCCATCAGTTCCTTCCTTTCTTTGATGTGCTTGCAAACTTGCATGAATTGTTTTGGTGCACATCTTGTATAGAAAGGAACAATATACTTCTTGGACTTGGTGGGAGGTCTTTGTGCCTTAGCCCTTTCACAATATTCCTCTCTTTGTTGTTCTGATAATTTATCCCATGCCTTTCTCACTTGTGCATTTCCTGCTTCAAGTGATTTGTACTTCTTTGAGCTTTTCTTGTAGAATTCCTCCGTAAACAAGGCATAACCGGAGAAATTACTGCTTCTTTGTGCATCCTTCCCCATCTGGCAATTCTGCTCAAATCCTGAACCCCAACTCTTTCAGACCACAGCAAACTTCTCAAACTAGTTCCAGAAAGATATACCAAAAGAGGGGTTTTTCCAGGTTTCTCAGTATGTCAACAAATGAAACGCTTAATTAGTGATAAAAAGATTCAATTTTTCACCAATAAATGAAAGGCTGCATCATGCATAATTCAGACGCAATCATCAATATGATAATAGAAATCCCAAAAAGGAAAGTAGTAACAATTACAGACCAAACAATCTTGACAAATACTTTGAACTCCAAACAAGGCACATCAATTATTCAGCCTCAAATCTGATTCTTCCATATTATCATATTCTAGTTATTTACCATTTACGCATTTCATACCTCATCTCATCATGTATCATTCTTCTTACAAGCCTTCTTGGAAGTGCTTTTAGAAGGCTAATGCCTCATCATGTATCATTGTTTTAAACATGCTCCAATACGCATACCATCTTATGGTCAAGGGAAAAAAAAACATGGGCCAAGCATAATCAAAAGCATCCAGCCGTATTTGATGCAAATATTCAGCAATGATCAAACGCAACAACAAACTGCCAAGACATGCTTTTCTGATTCATATGATTTTACCTTCTTCAGTGTCGACAATGCCTCTGTGTGCGAAAAGAAATTGTGAGAATAGGAGCTCTGCTTCAGACGCCGATCAACGGAGCCACCAGGACGACTCCTCTTCGCTTGAAACGCAAATGACCGCAGCCACAACGATGATCTTCACTTCGCTTCTGATGCCGATCAACGGAGCCACCACAACAAGCTCGACTTCGCTTCAAATGCAGATGAACAGAGCCACAACGACGACCTCCACTTCGCTTCAAACGCCGATCAACAGCGCCACCAGGACGAGCTCCACTTCTCTTCAAACACCAGGACGAACTCCACTTTGCTTCAAACACCGATGAACGGAGACGCCAGCACTTCGCTCCGCTTCGCTTCCAACACCAGCACTTCGCTCCGCTATGCTTCACTTCGCTCCACCAAAACAGAGCCACCGCCACAGGCTTTCAAGGACTTCGGTCACGATTTTCGGTGGGTTGTGAGTAGATTTGAAGCAGCACGGTGGGTTGTGGCCGGATTCTTCACACGAACGATTTCGAACAGCATGAAGGCGCCAGACGGTTTCTTCGAACGAACGACAAACAGGGTTTCAAATTTTCAGTCAAAGCAATTTCGAATGGGAAATCATAGTAAGGGAAAATAAGTCATTTGAAGATTCTGAAAATTGCATCTGAGTCCCTTTGGGACTTCAAAAACATTATCAGATTTCAGGGGACCTATTTGATGTATTTTGTTCTCCATGGGACCTCAATGTCATTCTCCCTTCTTATTATCTGTATCAAGAATTTTACACGCATTTTCGCTGCCTACTCCTCAAATATTGTACCAAATTCTCCGGGTCCTTATTATTATTATTATTATTATTATTATTATTATTATTATTATTATTATTATTATTATTATTATTTCCTTCATTATTTTTTAAGAAAATTGCATACAAGGACCTGTTCAACAAAATTGTTACCATTTACTTATCAATTATTATCAAAACCAATACTAATATTGTAATGGGTCCTTGTTTATAATTTTTCTATTTTTGAGGTCTTTTTTTACAATTTTTTCTTATTTTTGTCCCCAACAATTTCCTACATTATTATTTACTTACATTCATAACCTTTTTTTTTCCCGTGGAAATACCCTTTTTATTTTATATTACACGCCTTTTTAACGTTTCATTTTTGGACAAAAATACGTATTTATTGCTTAATTTACCCATTTTGGGTACCCATTTTGGGCCTCATATTTTCATCTATTGGGATATTTGCACCATTATCTGTATCGTTAAGTCAATTAATTTAATCAAAAAAGGCATAGATTAAATAAGAAATTAATAATACTTAAAATTATTATTTAACAATTATTTTTATTTTTTGGAAAATCAATTTGCTCCTACCATAACTACAATATTCATTTTCCTGTGATTAAATTTCTTTCCTCATTTTAATAATAATAATGCTGATAATAATGATAACATTGAAAATAAAGCGTAGCTAACTATTTCCCAACGAAAAGATATGAACCGTTGGGTAAGCTAGCTTGAAACGGACTGGAGTTATTATTTAATTTAATAAATTTAAAGTGAGGAAAAAGCTACTGGCTGGGAGGAAGAATTATAGTTTCACGTCTTTATCAAACTTACAAATATTATTTTTATCATTACTCCTTTTCTGATGAGATGATAAATGTAAAAAAAACAAGTAAAGAAATACCAAAATCTATAATTTTCTTCAGGTTATCTGTTACTGTATCATAAATGATTGTCGTTTTAAACATTTAACATCATCCAAACACCACATTTTTGGACTGAACATTCTCTGTTCAATTTGTCGGCATTTTATTATTGATGGATGATGGATAACCAGTTCCATACTTTATAGTCACAATTAAAAAAAAAAAACTAGAATTTACTATTTTAAATTAAAATTATTTATCTTGTGTGCGTGTTGTGTGTTCTCATTGTAAAACTACTTTTAAAGACAAACTAAAGATGACAATGATGATCATAAATCGAAAGATAAGAATAACCACCAAGGAAGCTATCCTAACTTAGCTCTGGTAATGCTTAATCCAGTCTAGCAGTCTGATACTAGAAAATTAAATTAAAAAACATGTAAACAAACAAAAATAAAATAAAACTGAAACCATTTAAATATAATCAAAATAATAATTCAGACGTGATCCCAAGCATTTCCCAAGAAAAATTTGAAGCCAGTGCCGAGTTAGATGAAGTTAGGTTGATCTTTGGTAATTGAACTCAAACGATTTAAAATCCGACGTAAGATAATTCATTGTTTAATATGATGGATTTGGAATTTTCAATTGAGAGACATTACCTCTGATTCTTAATATCAGAGTTAGTTGAATAATTTAAGTAGATTAAAAAAACTAATTAAGTTAGTCACTTGTAATGAATATGTATTATCTTTTTTAAAATATCTTTACTAATTAAGTATATTGGCTAGAACTATTATTATTATAAGGACTACTTTGAAAAAAATAGATAAATATAAGAGACAAAATAAATTAGAGTCTTATAATTAAGACCAAAATAAAAATCAAATAAGTTTTTATATTAAAAATAAGAGGCAGTATTAATTATTAAATCATGATATAATGATATTGAAATAAAGGCCACTGTACTTCTCCTCAACATCATCAAATCACAGGTGATTTGAGAGTATTTTATCGGCTATACAATTAATAAAAACTAAATTTGAGTAGATTAAAAATATTAATTAAATTAATTAATATGATATATTTTTTTCTAAAATACTCTAAGTATCTTTCTTAACCCTTCTCTTCTTTTCCTAATTGATCATTGTTAGAAAAATATCAATAGGGTTAATTTAAAAAAAATTAATAAATATATAAAATAGGTCTTGCATATAAGATCAAAGATCAACTCTCTAATTAAATTCTATATTAAGAACCGATGAGTATTATATAAATGTATTTTACGAAAAATATAATTCATTTGATTCTTAACATAAGAAGTACTTAACTAATTTAAGTATATTATAAAAAATGTGATATGATCACCTTAAAATAGCTTACATTATATAATATTATGTATCATTTTATAAATTATCAACTAAGTTAGCTTGGAAAAAAATTATAAATATATGAGATAAGATAAATTAACGTCCAGTTCTATTAGTAACAGTGGATGAAGCAATGGAGTTAAAGACATGGGGCTTTTAAGAAAAAATAATTTAATATCAAAATTATTCTTTGATGAGAAAATCAAACTCAGATATATTAAAGCATAAATTGGGCGACGGGATGTGCCTAAGATTAGACAGTGACGGAATTTTAATTTATTAATGCTTTAACCAAAGCTACCATACCCTTATTCTCCCTATGGTCCTTTACTGCCTCTTATATTGTTCATCCCAAGTCATTTGCAAAGCTGCAGGGTCTAAGGGCACCACCAGTATCTTATTTGGTCCCAATCACTCCTTCCAATTAACCCTCCGAATTATATAATATTAAACACCATCTAATTAAAGAGATACTCAAATCAATAATGTATCATGTAAAAATTATTTTTTTCACTTTAAATTAGCTTAAAAATTACTACTAATTATATCTACAACTGTTACTTTTGGAGACAAGTATGCACTAATTGTACTTGAAAAAGTTAGTATTATAACAAATATTTAGGGGAAAAAACAAGTAAAATTTAAGACGTGTTTAAAATAGAAAAAATAGTAGTCTCTCAAAATTAGATAAGTCCTTTTTCCTTTTGATAGAAATATTGGATAACTCTAATAGCAGTTTACACAGTGTGCGCGCACGCTATCAATCATCCTTTTAGCTTATGCTTTGAATTATATCGAGGTAAAATTATGGATATTGGGTTGAAAAGAATTTAAAGTTCAAGAATTAAATTAGAATCAAATTAGTTAATCTCTCTTATAAAAATATAATATTTTTATTACTACTTCTTTTAAATATTTAATTAAATCATGAAAAAAATTAAATATAGAGATGATACTAGCTTTTTCTAAACTGTAACCAAAATTAATTATTAATAAGAAATTAAGTAGATATTACATATATAAATAGAAAAATTATAATCAGTTTTTTTTAAAAAAAATAATTACTTTAAACTTTATTAAGAATCGAGGAGTTATAAAGAATAACAACATTCATGCTGATAACTTGTGATTTCAATTTTTTAGAAATTAAATTTATTATTTAAAATTTCATAGTAATTCTCTCTTTGTTAAAAACCGTTAACTTGCTCCGCTCAAATTACTAAAACTACCCTTCCTTTGTTGTCCCCTGCGTGTCTACGTGCTTCCATCCCCAACATTTGTTAATTTAACAAAAAACTGCCGTTGGTTTTCAAGAATCTTTTATTATTTTCAGCGAAAATAGGAATTCGATCCCCATC